AATCCATCTATCTATCGATCTGTCGATTGATCTGTCTATGTAATCGAAACCAACCTACCTACCTAATCTAATCTATCTATTTGCCTGGCTGTCTGACTGTCTGTCTGCGTATCTACCGTTATCTATCTCTATCTATCTCTTTTTACCGCTATCTATCTCTACCTATCACTGCATATCTCTACTTATCTCTATGCATCTCTATCTATCTAAATCTATCTATACCCACCTAAATCTACCAATATAAATCTACCTAAATCTACCTAAATCTGCCTAATTCTGCCTAATTCTACCTCCCTACCTCCCTACCTACCTACCTATCTACCTACCTACCTAGCTATCTATCTATCTATCTATCTATATCTATCTATCTATCTATATCTATCTATCTATCTATCTATCTCTCTCTATCTATCTATCCCTTTCTCTCTCTCTCTCTTTTTTTCTTTCTTCCTTTCTTTCTTTTTTCTTTCTTTCTTTCTTGCTTTCTTTCTTTCTTTCTTTCTTTCTCTCTATCTCTTCATCTATCACTGTGCAATTAACTATCCATCATTACTTATGTATCATCATCTATCCACCTATTACTATTTATCTTTTTTCTTCCTTCCTTCCTTCCTCCCTTCCTCCCGTCCTTCCGTCCTTTCTTTCTTCCTTCCTTCCGTCCTTTCTTCCTTCGTGCTTTCTTCCTTTCTTTGTTTCTTTCTTTGTTTCTTTCTTTGTTTCTTTCTTTGTTTCTTTCTTTCTTTTTATTTCTTTGTCTCTCTGTCTCTCTGTCTCTCTCTCTCTCTGCCTGTCTCTCTGTCTCTCTGTCTCTCTGTCTCTCTGTCGCTCTGTCGCTCTGTCGCTCTGTCGCTCTGTCGCTCTGTCGCTCTGTCGCTCTGTCGCTCTGTCGCTCTGTCGCTCTGTCGCTCTGTCGCTCTGTCTCTCTGTCTCTCTGTCTCTCTGTCTCTCTGTCTCTCTGTCTCTCTGTCTCTCTGTCTCTCTGTCTCTCTGTCTCTCTGTCTCTCTGTCCATCCGTCTGTCCGTCTGTCCGTCCGTCCGTCCGTCGGTCGGCCGGTCGGTCGGTCTGTCTGTCTGTCGGTCTGTCTGTCTGTCTGCCTCTCTGTCTGCCTCTCTGTCTGCCTCTCTGTCTCTCTTGCCTCTCTTGTCTCTCTTGTCTCTCTTGTCTCTCTTGTCTCTCTTGTCTCTCTTGTCTCTCTTGTCTCTCTTGTCTCTCTTGTCTCTCTTGCCTTGTCTTGCCGTGCCTTGCCGTGCCTTGCCTTGTCTTGTCTTGTCCTGTCTGTCTTCTCTGTCTTGTCCGTCTGTATTTCCGTATGTCTGTATGTCTGTATGTTTGTATGTCTGTGCGTTTGTATGTCTGTATATATCTATCTATCTATCTGATATCTATCTGATATCTATCTATCTATCTATCTATCTATCTATCTATCTATCTATCTATCTATCTATATATCTATCTATCTATCTCTATCTATCTATCTCTATCTATCTATCTATCTAATCTAATCTAATCTAATATAATATAATCTAATCTAATCTAATCTAATCTAAACTAATCTATCTATCTATCTATCTATCTATCTTATCTTATCTTATCTTATCTTATCTTATCTATCTATCTATGTATCTATCTATCTATCTATCTATCTATCGAATCGAATCGAATCGAATCGAGCCGAACCGAATCGAATCGAATCGAATCGAGTCGAATCTAATCTAATCTAATCTTTAATCTAATCTAATCTAATTTAATCTATCTATCTATCAATCTATCAATCTATCTATCTACCCATCTACCCATCTACCTATCTACCTACTACCTATCTACCTATCTACCTATCTACCCATCTATCCATCCATCCATCCATCCATCCATCCATCCATCCATGCATGCACCCATCCATCCATCCATCCATCCATCCAATCTATGTATGCATGCATGCATGCAAGTAAGTAAGTAAGTAAGCAATTATGTATACATGTCTGTATGCAGGCCACTGTTGATATTGATTCCAAGACAGGTGACACCACACTGCAGGCATGCCATGGTTCAGGTTCACAAATGAATTTGGCAAAACCCACGAATTGAGAGAGAGAGAGAGAGGAAAAAAAAAAAACTACATATTGCCAGCATTATCAAAATATGTGTATATAATCGTATATACATTATATAATTATATATATATATACACATTAATATTACATTGATTTCCCGGTTTCTGAGTTCGCGCGCCAACTTCAGAGCTGGACAAACCTCGGCATCATTGAAGTCTTACGAAATCAACGTGAAACCAAAAGTTGATCAATCAACATCGCAGCGTGTGTTTATCCAAGTAAAAATATTAATTCCATTTGGGCTGGGTTATATAATTAATGTGAATTTTGGGAAAATTCATTGATTGTGTTGACATACGAAATGCAACAAATGAATACAAAAGATATCAGTTTTTTTTGGTTTCCCATTCTGCAAAAATGTAATTTCATAATATTTCATATGTGGTTTGTCTGAAGAAAATACTTCCAACTCCGGTCGTCGGCATTTTCCCCATTCACCAAGCCACAGCATCAAGCCCGGGAGCAAACATCGGCGCCGCTGGATTTCAAATGGATTTTCACAGTTTTATGGGAATGTCTAAAGATTGGGCACCCAAAAATGTGATGGTTTCGATTTCTGTAGTACAAGTTGCTGGTACCTGTGGTACTTACACCATGAATTGTGATCCAAATCCATCACATTTGAATTCCAAAATTCCAATGTCAATCTTGGAAGACGGATCAGTTTGCAAGACCATGCATGATATTTGGGCCTGTACTCTTGGTTGTGGTTCCATTTGTTCGTGCTCAAACTGATGAAATCTGACAAATTTTGCTGCATGCGTGGTATATACAGATTTCAAAGGCCAACCAAAAATAAATAAACCTGTTTTGATTTTGATGTTTTTTTTTTGGTAAACGATTTTCAAGAAATGGGTTTGGAATCGATGTCACATCTGGGGAATTTGCATGAAGAGTGAGGCATTCAACCAGTTCGTGCATCAAGACTGGTAGAATATACATGTATGAAAAATATGAAAACATTGGTTTGCATTTCCATGTGAACATTATATCGATGCAGGCACACCAACTAACCAGAGAACACCAACTATTATTGACAGTCATCTCGACTTTTACACATTTCCATCCATGCATCCATCAAACCATCCATCCAAACAAGCAACCAGCCAACCATCCATTGATTCACCTTGCAGCTCTGACCCTCCATGCACTTACCTGGGTGCAACCAGTTTTCCCCGCATTTTTTGGGTTCCGTGGTACGGAAAACAGCCACACGCACCCCAAAAGTAAGTCCATGCCGGCAGCCACACTATTGCGTTGACTGGCCGTGTACGGCGTGGGGCTCACAGTTCTCACCCCATCTGATCATCTCAAGCACGAAACCCATTCGGTTTGGTGTGAAGCACATGAAAACTCAGGGGCATGTTCGTAAGTGGATTCATCACGGGGCTGAGCACAGTTTGATACCCAACGAACACTGCATGTTCCATCTCTTGCACACATGCACCTGGCATTGTGCGCAAGATACCTCATGACTAGCAAACATGCTGGCAACGGTCATGTTTCAGCACATTTTCCAACGCAGCGGGGAAGTCTTTTGTGAGGGCCCCGGTCTTTGCTGCAGAAATCGGACCCCATTTTGGGGTTCACACGGTGATTTATCTTCGAAGGATGATGCCAACTCTTGCTTGGAGTTTGTCACATTGCGTCCTAATGCGTTTTTTGGACTAGGAAACCTTTGACAGCCGCGGGCATCGACGCAGGCCACGGCTCTCCATCTATGGAGTTTCTGATCTTTGCTGCCTCTTAAAAAAATTGCATTGCACGATGACTACAAGGAAGGCCTTCTCAGGAATTGTCAACAGTCATAATCAACAAACCTCGGAGACCGGTAGTGTCTGTTCCCAATCTTGGTAGGACCCTAAATCGGTAAATTATAGGACAACATTCCAATAAGAATGATCGTAATTGCGAAAGTTGCAGCAAAAAAATGATACGCATCGGTGAAAAACAACAGTATTCAGATATCACGTACCAAAGAAGGTTTTGCTGAGGGACGCAAGTCCTTCTACTGTCCTAGCCACCTACAGGACCAACAACCACAGCTACAATTACTACAACAACAACAACAACAACACCACCACCAACAGCAGCAACAGCAACAGCAACAGCAACAGCAATTATAGGACCGGATAACCCCACATGTTACCAACTTCTCTAGACTCTAGACTTAGACTGAGCATAGAAAAGCAAGAAGGGAAGAGGAACTATAAGAGTGATGGAGGGGTGATGGTGGGTGAGTTTGTGTGTGTGTATGTGTATGTATGTGCATGTACAGGTGAGTGAGTGGAGTGGAGTGGAGCGGAGCGGAGCGGAGCGGAGCGGAGCGGAGCGGGTGAGTGATGTGATGTGAGTGATGTGAGTGATGTGAGTGATGTGAGTG